AAAAAAAAAAAAAAAAAAAAAAAAAAAAAAGAAAAAACAAATGAATTTAGAGTTTTCCAGTCAATTTATAGCTATGAAACTACATGGGAAAACACTGACACTTTATTTAGCTTTCATCACAGTGATGGAGTTCTTCGCATTGAGTGCAAGTACTCTTCTGTGGTGCCTAGGGTTGGATGGTGTAAGCATCTAGGTCATATTTTAAGCTTAAATTATAAATCCTTTCAATCCACAAACTATTTCCCTTTCGTAGCAAAATTACTTTCCTGCTTTGGCCATGATGTCTCATAATTTATGTCAGTGATTTCTTATGTGTTTAAAAATTGCTGTGAGCACTATGCTGGTAGGTAGGTAATCCTTAAGGATTTCACAATACGGTCTACTCTACAAGTTGGTTTCATAATTTCCACAACTGTTTCAGTTACCAGGGTATCCACAGTGTGCACCACATTATTGGCACATGGGCCCTTGGGAAATGCTGAAAAGATGAGTGAATAAATCATCTCTGACTCACAACACTTTCTTTTAACAGAAAGAGTCCTGGAAGATTGGAAGCTTCCTGTGCAGGAGTTAAAGAGTGACAGAGCAAAGGCTGCACCAGTGGAAGAACTGCCACCATGTGCATGGTATGTTTGTATATGTCTTTCTAGGATTCTAGAAAGAAAGTGTAAATTTTCGGGATTTCTGGAGCTCACATAAACTTTAAATGTAAATCAAGCTTTACAAAATTCTCACAGCACCTAATGTTCCAACTGTAGTCTTGAATGCATCCAGGTTTCCAACTGAGCAATCTCAGCAGGTCAGACTGTGGTGGTGGTAACTCAAACCTCTTCCCTAAACTTCTAACTTTTTTTTTTTTTTTTGAGATGGAGTTTCACTATGTCTCCCAGGCTGGAGTGCAGTGGTGTGATCTCGGCTCTCTGCAACCTCCACCTCCCGGGTTCAAGCGATTCTCCTGCCTCAGCCTCTGGAGTAGCTGGGACTACAGATGCATGTCACCAAGCCCAGCTATTTTTTTTGTATTTTCAGTAGAGATGGGGTTTCAGTGTTAGCCCGGATGGTCTATATTGACTGACCTCGTGATCCACCCACCTCAGCCTCCCAAAGTGCTGGGATTACAGGCATGAGCCACTGTGCTCAGCAGGGTTTTCAATACTACATCAAACAGCTGCTTTTAATGATTTGCCAAGCTGAAAATTCCTTCAGGTTTATATTGATTTCATCTCCTACTGATTCATCAAATTAACAGGATTTGAAGGCACATGACCTGTCAAAGATATTTCACTATTCTCTTTTATAACATTCCAGGTCCTGTTCAATTGTTTCATTACTTGCACTGTTAGGAGTGAAAATTCTGAAGGTTTCTGGAAGTTCCAAGAACCAATGCTTTTACCTTTATAAATGAAGCTACCCTAAATAAGAGACGCATGGTGGTCATTGTACAGGTGTCACAGTCAAAGGTTTCTTCTCCAGGACGCCCCCACTAAGGAAGCCTGTGGCCTTCAGTCTCCCATTATCCCTTAACATACTTCTGTACTCAGTGTTTAATTTTCTTCTAATGACTAGTCTTTAGAAGTTTTGTAGGGGTTCACATATGTCTGTTTATAAATTTAAGTCCACACACCCACAAACATGTATTTTAAATATAATCCAGCTCTTTCTTAGATAGACAGGAAGCTCCATGAGGCAAGGAATTTGATCATCTGCTTCTGTGATGGCTAGTGCCATTGGGAAACATTCTTGGATATACTGTGCATAGTCAATGTAAGGTTTAACAAATGCAGGTGCTGCTGAACTTCAGAGAAGTATCAATAATTGCAGATGTATTTTTAAAATTGCATTCTACTTTACAACAGCTTTATTCATAATTGCCCAAAATGGAAGGAATTAGAATATCTTTCAGTAAATGAATGGATAAACAAACTGTGATACAGTTATACAACGACCTATTACTCAGTGGTAAGAAGAAATCACCTATCAAACCATGAAAAGAATGAAAAGACATAGAGAAATCTTAAAAGGCTACATACTGAATGATTCCAACATTATGAAAAAAGCAAAATTACAGAGAGAGTGCAAAGATCAGTGGTGGCCAGAAATTTGAGGGGAATGAGGAAGGGCAGGATAAACAGGTAAACCACAGGGAATTTTTATGACAGTAAAACAATTCTGTATAATACTGTAATGGTAAATATGACATAATCCATGTATCAAAACCGTAGAATATACAACACAAAAAGTGAACCCTAATGTAAACTACTGACCTATAATGTATCAATATTGGTTCATCAATTGTAACAAAGGTATCACATTAATGTAAGATGCTAATAACACAGGAACCTGTTTGGGCTATGGGGAGTATGGTCATTCATTCGTTCATTCATTCACTCACTCATTTAGAGGCAGAATTTCACTTTGTCATCCAGGCTGGAATGCAGTGATGCAATCTTGGCATATTGTAGCTTCGACCTTCCAGTCTCAGGCAATCCTCCCACCTCAGCTTCCTGAGTAGCTGGGAGTACAGGCGTGCATCACCACACACAGCTAATTTTGTGATTTTTGTAGAGACTGATTTTTACCATGTTGCCAGGCTGATCTCAAACTCCTGAACTCAAACTATCCACCTGCCTCTGCCTCTCAAAGTGCTGGGATTACAGGCGTGTGCCATTACGTTAGGCCAATATTTGGTAATTCTACTTTCTTCATAATTTTTCTATAAGACTGCTCTAAAATATTAAGTTTATAAATTTATAAATTACACTGTAAATCAAGACTGTAAAGCTATTAATGTTACATCATTAAACAGATATATTCTGATTGTAGAATAATTTTCCATTAAAGTATTTTTAGAAGGATGCTATAATGATTCCTTCTTTTATATAACACTGCAGTGATGACCCAGAAAATATTTAGAAAACACTTTCCCCCAGTTGGAAACCTATTTATAGAAACATCAAACACTCAATCCCAATTTTAACTAACAGAAAGAGTATATCCAATTAAAAAAGAAACATTAGGAAAAAAATCAAGTATAAACATAACATTTATTTTTTCCTTTTACTTGCCATAAAATGTCTCACATTTAGGAAGAGACAAAGTTTTAAAATTCTATGCTTAGGAAACGGAATATTCCTTGCAAGTCTAGATTTTCTACTCTTGATTTAAAACCTCATCATGTCCCTCTGCCACAGAGGATGAGTGTTCAGGACCTCTGGGTGAACATCAAGGGTGTTAAATTCCCATAAGTAACCAGTTTTCCAGATGACATTCCTACAAATGATATACTCCCATAGGTACTCTCATATTATGATGAAATCTCAAGCTTCTAGGCAAAATTTCCAATATAATATAGTGACAGAGGAGTAAGTTTAAAAAAAGAAAAAAGAAAGCAAAGCAAGCTGGACATGCTACTCAAGAGGCTGAGGCAGGAGGATCACTTGAGCCCAAGAGTTCAAGGCTGCAGCAAGTCATGATCATGCCACTGCACTCCAGCTTGAGTGACACAGTGAGATCCCATCTCTAAAATGTTTATGGCAGAAAATTCAAAAAGTATGAATTTTCCTGTATGTAAATTAAAAAAAAAAAACACTTAAAAATTTTTAAATGAAAAAAAGTAACTGATATGGTGGATGGGGAGAAAGAGTGATGGGGACTGTTCAATTTTAAGAGAGACCAAAGGGGCTGGTCTGAAGGCAGTGAGTTATCTTAATTGATTGTTCATGGTCAGTTACAGATCAAACTCCTTGTTCCACTCTTTCCCCAACCCTTCTCAATACTGTACTTGACTATCCTTAAAAAAAAGGGGGGGATGGGGGGAGGGGCACCAAAGAGGCATAACAACCAAATGTAATGAATTTTGACCGGCTCCTCCTATTTGATGTAGGAGGAAAAACTTCTATAAAAAGACATTTTGGAAGACAATTGGGGAAATGTGAATACTGACCAGATGTTAGGGGAAATTATAAAGTTCTTGTTAATTTTCATACTGTGATAATGGCAATGTGGTTAAATAGGAGCATATACTTATTCTTAGGAGATGTATGCTGAAATATTTAGGGTAAATTGCCTTGATGCCTGTACCTTACTTTCAGGAAGTTCATTTTTTTAAAAGTTATGTTTTTATCTGTGTCTGTATGTGCATGTACATATACAAAAATAAAGCAAATATAAGCAAAATGATAAATATGAATGACAATTACAGAATTTGGGTTAAAGGTATACAACTGTTCACTTAACTTTTTTTTTAGCATTCCTGTGTATTTGAAATTTTCAAAATAATAAATGGAGAGAAATCATTCACGAAACTAATCTTGGCAAACCAGTGTGCTGTGAAATCCTCTCTGGAAGATTTTTTGTCCAAAATGTCTTTTTTTATAGCTGTTTTCCCAATCTAGTCAAAATTCATGTGCAGCATTTGATTATGTCTCTCTGGTCTCTTTTAAACATGATCACTACCTAATATCAGACCTCTCATGACAAGACACTGTCCGCTTTGCTGGCCTGATTCCATGCCCAGCACTGTCTATGCTCTCCTCCTGGATGTCATAAGCCATGTCCTCCCTCACTGCTATGCTACTGCTACATCACTCTACCTGCTCCTCTTGTCTGCTGTGGTAAAGCTGGTCTGGAATGCTCTGAGCCCCAAAGGCACAGTCAGAGTATTCCTACCTCTGTGCTCTCAGTGCCAAATGTGCCTCTCCCACATTTCATGCCACTGTCATTATTGGTTGACTTTTCTCATGTGCCAACTTACCCCAACGGGAGAAATGAAATCCCATTCACTCTTCTATCAATTTATGTCCAATGCAGTTCCTGGACATGCTGAAGAAAATCGCTGATTTAACTGAAGGGTTCTCAACCTCAGCATTGCCAACATTTTGGACTGGAAAATTATTTGTTGTGGGGAGCTGTCCTGGACATTGTAAGATGTTCAGCAGCACTTAAATACTAAATAAATGAATGACTGATCCTAAGGCATTCTTATACAAATGGCAATTATTTGGCGGGGTTGTGGGAAAGGCTATACAGCAAAAATTACAACCTCTTAAGATGGAGAGTGCTGGAGTCAGTGACAGAGGCCTGGTGATGACAGTGAGAGTGCAGCCCAAGTGACAACATAGCTGGGCTGAGGAGAGACCAAAGAAAAAACACAGTCATTCCTTCTAGCCAGCCTGTGTATACAGTTTTGGAAGGGCCTAAAGAGCATTTTTATATTGTGTGCAACTGAGAGAAAGTGGTGTAACAGAGGCTTTTTTGGTTTTGGTATAAAGCAATTTCAAGCAAAGGCAAAATGATGATTATTGATTTCCACTTAGGAAATAAAGAGCTATATAAGACTGATTACACGTGGTCATACCACCTTCTGAAAGTTTGAGTGCTTTCCCCCACCCAGCCCAATTTCTTCCTTTTTCACATTAGAAGATTATCAACTCACAAGATAAAACTGATGGGCTCAGAGGACTCCATCACACTTATTAAAACGAACACGTTGTTTTTCCAAGTTGATAAAACATTGGAGAGCCCAAAGCAGGAGAAGCGAATTTCTCCCAGAAAATGAGGGTTTTTCTTGCTGGCAGCTAAGCTTCTTGGTGGACAATAAACTAAAACAATCTCTCCTTGATTACATTTTTAACTTGTAAATGTTTTTAATTGGCTTAATCAAAGCACTCATTAAGAGACATATTCAGTAACTTTGGCTCTCCATAATAAATTTATATTTTAAAAACAGCTCTTTGATGCTTAATTCAGAGAAATTAAAACAAACACTGGTTAAAAAGAATGAATGTATAAATAAGTCAAATATCAACTATAACAAGTTATCATTTAAAAATATGATCTTTAGTGGTATTTTAGATTGAATACATACATTTGATTTTTATGTTTAAAGAAATTTGCATTTATGATCATTACAGATTCAAGTTGTCACATAAAGAAATGCAGTTATCACGCAACAAAACAGATGGTCCCCAAATCCTTCTTAGAAATCTATCTATCTAATCTAGTCAAGAGGGAAATTTCAAGCTCAGTTTTCTCTCCAATTTTATTATCATTATTTTGTAGAATTTTTTTTGTCCTTTGGTTTTTGACTAGACATGACTATTTAAATCTATAATCAGTATAGAAAGAAAAAAGAAATACAGAAAACCAAAAGAAATAATTTACCCAAATCATAATTACCAGAGAAAACTATTGGTATTAACATTGGATTATATCTGCCCAGGCCAAAAGCAAACACCTATACATATGCCTTTATAAGATTTTCACTTATCGCTATGTCATGGATATCTTTCCAAGGATAAAGACTTACATACAATTTTATTTATAGTGGCAAGATATACCATTATAAGGATGGGACAACATTTAATCAATTATCTAATGGTGGACACGTAGTTCCTTCTCAGCCTTGAACCTTACACACAACATAAGTATGAACAACATGTGAATTTTTTGTCTTAGAGTTTCTTTCTTTGGTGTCATTCTTACAGTCAAGGTCTCCTCACCCAAAGATCGGATAAATATTCACCTATAATTCGTTCCAATCCTCCTATGGCTTTAATTTGTTATCTTTATATATTTAACTTTACTGAATTTCATTTCAGTATATACTTTAAAAGAGGGGAGACTTTATCCACTCCCCCCAAATGGCTTGCCATTTATTCCAGCAATATTTAATAACTAATTAATCACAATTAATCATTTTTCCATTTACAAGAAATGCCTACCACAAATTTGTGGGTTTTTTTTTTTTTGAGATGGAGTTCTCACTGCGTCACCCAGTCTGGAGTGCAATGGCACAACCTTGGCTCACTGCAACCTCCACCTCCCAAGTTCAGGAGAGTCTCCTGCATCAGCATCCCAGGTAGCTGGGATTACAGGCATGTGCCACCACACCTGGCTAATTTTTTGTTTATTTTTTATTAGAGACAGGTTCCACTATGTTGACCAGGCTGGTCTTGAACTACTGACCTCAAGTGATCTGCCCGCCTTGGTTTCCCAAAGTGCTGGGATTACAGGTGTGAGCCACCATGCCTGGCCTACAAATCTGTATGTATCTATACTTTTGACAGTTCGTGTACTTTATGATCTGTTTCATTTATCTATTTATTCTGGTGCCAATATCATAATTTTTCAGTTACTATAGCTTTATTTTCTTCAAAAATGTTCATGGCCATTATCTCATATTTATTCTGTGATTTACTTCAGAATCATATATTTTGATACACTGTTTATTCATTATTGTCATTTTATAATGTTAACTGTTTTTCTCCGGGTTTTACAGTATTTTTCTTCTGTAAGCTTATCTACTTTTCCCCTATAATTATCATGTATTTAATCATGTCTAATTAAAAACCAAAGGAGAATAAAAGAAAACTCCATAAAACATTGTTGGTAGACCTGAAGTTTACCCCTAAGTTTTCAGTTTATTGTAGTGATGTCTGTGTACCCAGTCTCTGAATGTTACTGAATCCTAAGGTAGAAAGAGTATCTACCTCTTTAGGTCTGCTTTTGATCTCCAATTAGCAGCATTTGCAGTGGTCTACTAGCATTTGTTAAATTTATTTCTCATGACATCCCACCATTTGACTCAGGATGGGAAGTCACTGGCTGATTCTTAGTGTCTTCCTGAAGTTGGTCTGTCCTTTCTCCTTTCACATGCTATATCAGATAAAAACTTCTCAATGCCTGTAGAATACAATGGATACCACTTACCTGCCAGCTCCTTTTCTTCTTACTTTTCTTTTTCTTACTTTGATAAAGTTTTTGCCTTGCTTTCCTTTTTCTTTGCAGTTTTTATTGGTTTCTTCCCTTACTTCACCATCTTCCCAGGAAATCCTGAGTTAGATTACTTTGTGGAACTTTATATGAGCGAGTTGTACCACTAATAAACATTAAAATAACGACATAGCCTAAGATTAACTGCTCAAAGAAAAAGATGACTAGCTCTGAATTCTTGCATGATCATAGTATGTATTTTGAAAGAAGAAAGAAAACATGGCAAACCCTCTTGCAAATCAAGCAATTTGCTGATCAATAAGTAATTTCCCTGTTCTACTCAATGCAGGCAGATCCCCACAGTGGACAGATACAAGAGTTATTTTTTCTTTTAATATAGGTAAAATTTCTTTCATTTGAGAAAGTAATGTGTACACATAGTTTTTTAAAAATAAAGACAAAAAATACATGGAAATCATCTTCCATCCATTCCTGCTCTATCATCCTACAATGTTCTCCCCAAGAGACAACCCCTGTTATTTACCTATTGATTTACAAATAGAGAAATCCTTCATTATCCCTCAGATTAAAACTGATCAGCATATTACATGATATTGAGAAGACACAATTTTATTGTAACTCTTAAAAGCTAGAATAATAACAAAGGTATTGTACTGGATAAAACTCAGGCAGATATACAAAATATATGTACTACCTCTCCCTTTTTATTAATAAATATGAAAATAATTTATAAATTATTTACTCAAACATTTGTTGAGCATCTACCATATGCTAGGCACTGTCCTAAGTGGTATGGACAGAAAAATGAAGCAAGACGTAATCCACCCACCTCTACCCCCCATTTCATTTTGTTAAGATAATTGTTAACAACAGCTGAGTTATACTTTAAGGGCTAAATCAAAACGTCATCACATAAAAGTCCTTTGTGAATCAAATGGAAAAATCTCAACATAGATGTAAAACTTTAAATGCTTGGACCATAATACTGGACCATAATACTGTACCTATGGTAAGCTCAGAGCAGGAGGAAATGGCCTGACGACAAATCACCCCCCATCTTAAATATCCTAACATTCTCTATACTGTCAGTAGACCTAGGTGTGTTCATGCGTAGCAGCACACAGGAAGATGCAAAGGTGACATGGCCTTCCTGTTTGAACAAGGCATAATCTTAACATAGAAGGTGCCTGTTGCTCATCATGGGCAGAAAAAAGAGCCAATATCACTTATAATTGGACAGACCACTTTGACTTTGGCAGGGGCCAGCCAACCTGTATACCAGAGGCACACATAGTAGGTGAGGACCAAATGTCGGGAAGTGATTTCACAGTGGCCCATCTCTAAGGAAGTAGTGAATCTTAACAAACCCTTTTAAGTAGGCACTTTAACCACCCATTTTATAGACTAGGAAATTAAGGTCTGGAAAGTAACTTCCCCTAGCTAGTGAGATGTGAAGCCAGATCCCAAGCTTTTGTCACTTCACTGCAGTGACTGTGTGAGTGAGAAATTTACACATAGTCACTTGCATCATCACAATCAGAAAAATAGTGGCTCTGTCTACTCCGATGGTTTATGCTTGTGCTAACATAGGCTGTCCTTCTAGTGGGGCGAAGTCTTTGGCACCAGTAATAAATTTATGTTAATGCTTAGTTCTTACTTCTATGTAGTATTCATATTTGACACAGTACAATTTTTCTCATTTTCAAACACAGATTATTCACACCATATGTATGTAGCAGATAATTCAATAATAAACTGTGATCAAACATTTGGCAAAGGCTTGAGAAGTCAAAGAGTTTAAAAAAAAAAACTAACATATCCTTAGATTTCCAAATTGTCTCCATTTTAAGGTTAGAGCATCTAAAAGCAAAACCAAGTACCCATTTGGTAATATTACAGCCCCTTACAGAAACGCCTCTGCAAGTTAGGGCACTTTAGAAACTATAGTGAACCATCTCAATGGTTTTCTAAAACTATCTTTGAGGACACAGATTATTGCGTAAATCAAGGTTCCCTGATCCTTTTGTTTAATAACAGAAAAGAGGTACTGCCTTTTCTTTTTCATTTGTGCTAACAGGAAAACATAAGAGCAAGCATTATGGCCTAATTGTATAAAAACTGTATCATGTCTTGTGTGGATAAGAACACACTGTCCAAATTATCCTATTTGGAACACACTGTACCTAATTATCCTATTTACATTTTAAATGTTGTTGTTACTTTCTTCTTCAAGTAAGTGAATTAGAAATTTAAAAAATAAACATTAAACTCTGATATATTTATTAATTCAGAAGTTGGTCAATCTAAAGTTCAATAATCTATAAAAAAATTATCAAATTCACAGGACTCAACAATAAAAAAGAACCAGAGAAGTAAAGACCTCTAATGAAATATGATTGGTACATTTGCCAAGAAGAAAGCTTTTTGAAAGGAAGGAAAGGAGGGAGTGAAAAAGAAAAGTTGAAAGCTACAGACATTTCTAAGTAGGAGAAAGGTTGATTACCAAATGGGTAAAGTCAAATGTAATACTGGGACCTGAGAGACTTCTGGATTAAACAGATAAATTTACTTCTGCTCTCCCCTCCTTCCAAATCACCATGACAGCCCACGGTGCCTGGACCTTGGAGAACCCCAGGAGAGAGAGCCTAGGTCCTCTGAAGGGTAGAAGATGCTCCTTGTCCCCTCTCTAACCCCATGCCCACTCTTGCCCAGTGGAAGACAAAAGACTTCCTATCATGTAAGACTGAACTACAGGCAGCACCAGGGGCAAGAACACAATAATGAAACGCCTTTCCACTAAAAGAAGAATTAGGAGGAAACAGAGACAAGGCAGAGATCAGAAGAAAAGTACAGAGGGATAACATTGCATTCATGAAGTAAAGTACAGAATGTTATTTTCTAAAAAGAGGTGAGAACATTCAGAGAGCAAAAAAGAGCTCCTGGATACTAAACTTACGATTGCCGACATTCAGTAGAAGAATTGGGAAATACAGTTGAGAAAATCTCAAAATAGACAGAAGAACCCAAACAAACAAGGAGACACAAAATAGGGGGAAAACATACAACAAACGGTAAGTCCAGAAAATGCAAGAGAGGGCCAGAAATAAAGACAGAACATGGAGAAAAGATAATTCTAAAAGAAATAATTCAAGGAATTTCACAGAAGTGAAGAACAGGTGTTTGCAAGTGTTAAGTCCCACTGGTGGGGATGACCACAAAGGCCTGCCATTGTGAAATGTCAAGACACCAGGGACAAAAGGAAGACTGTGAAAGCTTCCAGACAGAATGAAGAGACCCTGTGTAAAGAATCAGGGGTCAGACTGGCATGAGCCTCTCAACAGCAATGTTAGAGGCAATGGGCAATGTCTTACAAATTTGGAGGGCAGATGGGCATAAAGATGTCTACAGACATATAAGCTTCCAAACTATCTCTCATGCACCTGCCAAAATAAAGGAGGGGGGTACAAGAAAGGGGTGATAAATGAGAAGCCAAGTGAATTCCCAAGAAGTTGGGAAGTGAGGACAAGAACCCTGCAGCCAGTCTGGAGGTGACCTGCCCAAATGGGAAGGGAACAACACAATTCCAGGAATACCCTCTCCAAGGAAACAACACAGCACACTGAGAAGCTGTCTGGTGTGTTTAAGCACACTATGTTTAGGAGATAATCAATGGTAGGTACACAGAAACCAAACAAAAAATGAGGCCATTTTCAACTCAGTTACGTTTAAGGAAACAATCATGGCATGTTACATGCTTACCTACAAATACCATTTGCATAATAATACAATCACTAAATACTGATTTAACCAAAAGTTGTGATGTGAAACCACACTGGCAGGATGGAACAAAGACATTCATATTTTATAGCAGAGAGTCAATAAAACTGAAAAGCACAGTATTTAGAAATATAGATGTAAACAGCAGAAAAAAAGGCTAAAAATTTGAGTCACTTACTATAGGAAATTGGGAAAGGGCAGAGGCCCATTGTTTTGTTATTGTCAGGTCTCCATCTGCAAGCCTACACCCAGAAAGTCTGAAGTCCTGCCTGCCTCGGCTGATAGTCCCCTCAGTCGCCCTCTCCCCAGCCGCCCTCTCCCCAGCTGCCCTCTCTCCCGCCTGCGTTCCCCATTACCCCTAATCACCCAGCAGAGCTTCCCCTGACAAGCCTCTCACCCCACCCCATTATCTTAACTGTTCTTATGATAATGTGAATACTCCTCACCCCATCTTGCCATCTTAACTATTCTTATGATAATGTGAATACTCCTCGCCCCACCCTACCATCTTAACTATTCTTACACCTTACCCCACCCACCACTGTAACTGATCTTACTCTGTAACACCCCCACCCCCCACAAAATTGCCCCAACCTATAAAACGAATTCCCACCCTTACCCACTTCACCTGTCCTTTCTCAGATTTGGCCCGCTTGCACCCAAGCACGAAATAAAACAGTGTTGTCACTCACACAAAGCCTATTTGGAAGATCTCTTTATTAAATATGTTTAATATTCAGTATTATTGGACACAAATAACAGTTATTACTTTTAAAGAACTATCTGACTTTTATAAATATAAAATTATTTATATGTATTACTTTAATAAAATAAAATATTAGATTAAAAAACTGAATTTGCTTAGTCAACTGTAAGTGAAAAAAAATGAGTAAAATGTAGTTTTTAAATTATGGCAGGTATTTGTGCTTATAAACCAAAAATAAAATTCTAAGCTCCCCATCTGACTGAGAGTCCTTCACTCAGCCAAGGCATTCCAAAGTTAACCTGAAAAACTAGTTCAGGCCATGACAGGACATGGGGGGTTGAACATGAGGGTGTTGAACATGCCTAATTATACTCTCCTCCCGTTGGAATTCAGGCCCAGTTGACCAGCATTAACATCAAAACAGAGATCTTAAGACTGACAGGAATGATAGGAAAGATTTACAATCTATTCCTTCAGAACCCCACTATCTGGAGGCTTCATCTGCATGATAAAACCTTAGTCTCCACAACCACTTATCTTAATCCAGACAATCCTTTCTATTGATTTTCATGTCTTTAGATAATAACTCTTTCAGCCAATTGCCAATCAGAAAATCTTTTAATACACCTATGACCTGGAAGCCAGAGACTTTCCAAATCACACTAAAATGACAGTCCCCAGTACCTGAACCTCAGAGAACCTTTCAGACCAGTGTACATCTTATATGTATTGATTGATGTCTTACGTCTCCCTAAAATAAAAAAAAACAAGCTATAGCCCAACTACCTTGGGCACATGTTCTCAGGATCTCCTGGGGCTGTGTCATGAGCCATCAGTCACTCATATTTGGCTCAGAATAAATCTCTTCAAATATTTTACAGAGTTTGACTCTTTCCATTGACATGCCTTTAGAGAACCATGGGATCTTAGGATTGGAAGCCCCTGAACAATCATCTAATACGCCACCTGCTCCCCAGTGTGAGACCTGCTATGTGAATTGTGAAGAACTCTGCCCCTAGGAACTGCTGCCAACACAGTTATGCCCCACCAAAAAACCATACTCAGGTAAGCACACTAATCTTTTGCTAGTCAAAGATGGCCAGCCATGACCCTGAAGCCTCTTCTCTGCTGGGTTCCTACTTCTCTCTAGCTTCTGAGGGGTTCTGAGTCCCAGACTGTGTGACCAAAAAGGCCTTGGCTAATAGCTCCTAATCTCACATCTCTCCAATCTGGGACAACACCCAGACCAAGACAGACAACTCTGTGGCAATTTCAAACCTCGCAAAGATGGGTTGCCAGGTGTAGCCTAGGCTGGGTGCTCATGTGCTCAACACTGGGCAGGGAACAGGGATGGGGACACAGTCCTCACCAGGAGCAAAGCTGTACCCTTGCAGTCAGCTGAGGGAGGAGGCCCAGTCTCCAGGAGAAACTGGTAATGGGTAGGCAATCCGTTAAATAGGGCGTGAATGGTAAAGAAAGAGAATGCTTATTAAATTTGTCTCTTAGGAGAGTCAATTTTTGGTCACATATGAAAATTAATTATATCTTCTCTAATCATTTTATGCTATAAGCTTCCTGTGCTCTGGGACATGGATGATCAGCGTCAAATGCCACAAAGCAGGAATTCAACAAGATGATCATTCATTTTTAAGAAAATGTCTCTTTGTTCATTTCTTGTAGAAAGGACTTCCTGGTTAACGCCAGTGTGAGTAAAAAAGATCTGCTTCCAGGCCTTAAACCTTTCTTTCAATAAGTTTAGTAATGGGACATTTTTATAGAGTTTTGGTGATCTTATAATTTTGTCTTCAGGTGGTGTGCTTTTTGTTTTTTCCATTCGTACTACAAAATGGTATCTCATCAGAGAAGCCAAGTTTCTAGAAATAGATTTCCATGTAACAGTTCATGTTAATGCCTCTGGGATAACATATAACACTTGGTCTGATTCCTAACCATGCAATAGAAACAAAAACTAAAATCAGTCACCTCAGTACCTCATATCACTCAGAAGATTCATAAGCCAATCTTATCCACATGATTGATTAGTGTTAAGAGAAAAACAAAATTCTGTGAAATATCTCAAGAGGTTTATGCTGAGCCAATGTAAGTGACCATTGCAGTGTACAGTTTCAAGACGTCCTGAAACAGTGCGCCTGAGGTGGTTGGGTTACAGTTTGGTTTTATACATTTTAGGGAGACAGAGTTAGAAGCAAAGTCATAAATCAATACATGAAAGGTATACATTGGTTCAGCCTAAAGAGGTAAGATACCTTGAAGCAGGGATATAGGTCATAGGCGGATTCAAACATTTTCTGATTGGCAGTTGGTTGAAATAATTCAGCTTTGCTGAATTCTTGAAAGAAATACCTGAGTTAAGTTACGGTGGGAGCTATGGAGACTGAGTTTCTTTACTATTATTATTTGATACAGGGTCTCATTCTATCACCTAGGCTGGAGTACAGTGGTGCAATCATGATTCACTGCAGCCTCAACCTCCCAGACTCAATGATCCTCCCACCTCAGCCTCTCAAGTAGCTGGGGCTGCAGGCACCCCCCCACCATGCCTGGGGTTTTTGTTTGTTCGTAGAGATGGGGTTTTGCCATGTTGCCCAGGTTGGTCTCAATATCCTGGGCTCAAGTGATCTGCCCACCTCAGCCTCCTAAAGTGCTGGGATTACAGGTGTGAGCCACAGGCCCAGCCAGACCAAGGTTCTTGTTATGCAGATGAAGCCTCCGTCTTTCAGAGAATGTAGATGGTGAATGTCTCTTTTCAGATCTTAAATGTGTCAATCTCATTTAATCTCTCCTAGATCCCAGAAAGACCTAGAAAGGGAAGGCCTGGCCACATTAATGGAGATATCTCTACAGATGCAAATTCCTCCCACAAGAGACAGTTCAGCAGGGCCATTTCAAAATATGTCAAAGAAATATATTTTTGGGGTAAAATATTTTTATTTCCCTCAGTGTCTGCTGTCATGTGATGCTATACCAGAATTAGGTTGGAATTTGCTATCTTAATGCTAGAGTCTGTTTTATCAGTCTAATAATCTCCATTTCAATGTTAATGCCAGTTAGTTGTGCTTAAACTCCAAAAGGGAGTGGGTATAACAAGGTATGTCTAACCTCCCTTCTCAGCATGGTCAAGAACACAGTTTTTCAGGTTTCTCTGAGGTCCTCTTGGCTGAGAGGGTCCATTCAGTCGGTGGGGGCCTTAGGATTTTATTTTTGGTTTAGATTATGGAGATGGGGGATGTGTTCTCCCCCAACAGGCATAACCAATTATCTAGGCATTTGCAGTTTATGTCTTTACAGTTAACTGCACTTGAAGAAAATAAAAATATTTTACCCCAAAGTATATTTCTTTGACAAATTTTGAAATGGTTGCCACAGGGCCAGCAGACGGAAGTGGCCTTGCAAAGCTGCCTCTGGTCGGGGAAATTTGCAACTGTAGAGAATCTCCATTAATGTGGCCAGGCCTTCCCTTTCTAGGCCTTTCCCAGATCTGGGAGAGATTGAGTCTGACACCTTTATAAGTCTGAAAAAACACATTTACTATCTATTCTCTCTGAGGGCTTCTAGCTATGAGGCCTCATCTACATAATAAGGCCACTTTTGCTAGCCCGTCCTCCTTTTTTCTCTCTCCTATAACCTTAAAACCTGTTTTTGGCCATACTCTGAGCCTGCATTCTTTCTACAACCTCAAGACGGTATATAAGCTTCTGTACTTTATTGGAGAGTTGGATCTTCATTATGAAAGCTCCCATGTATACATGTTAAATAAATCTGTATGCCTTTTCTCCTATTAATCTGCCTTTTGCAAGTTGATTTTTCAGTGAACCTTTGGAGAGCCAAGGGGAAAGCTCTTCCTCGGTCCTTAGGGTGATCAGTGAAGGAAGACAAGGGGTACAAGAGGATGCAGCAAGTTTTCACAATGAGACTAGGAGATTACACAGTCTGACAGAATGAACTCTTAAATAATTTTCATTTCAGGTGCTCAGAACATGTAGTTCAATTAGCCAGTATTGAAAGTGCATGCCAGAAAAAAAATTATTTCTATTTTCTTTTCTTTGAGCTAGAAGACTAGTTTGCTAAAAAAAAGACCAGTCTCTTTTCCAGGTGAAAAAAACAAAAGGTGAAATTAAAACCTGTTTTGATTCTCACGGTCATCAGTGGCCCTGATTAAAAAAAAAAAAAAAAAGCTATCTTACAAAAATCAATAAATACCTAAACATTTACAAATAAAAGTCTGCTTTTACTTAAGAGGCATTCTGTTATAACGAATCACCGGAAAAGAATAAGCCTGTAACAGTACCCTTTGCATCAAAATAATGCTTTAAGGGTTCAGAAGTCCTTGAATATTATTTCTTCTGATCGTCACTGCAATTACATTAGGCTGTTCTCCACGTGATGCATGGATGACGGAAAAAACAGCCTGAAGTCAGAGAAGGCTTGCATAAAGTCACTCAGCTTATAAGGAGTCAGGGCTGCAGCCAGACTTTGACATGTGGCCCTGGCCTCCCTCTTCCTGATAAATCCAGTTACCTTCCCCTTCTCAGGTCTCCAACTATGCCACAACAAAAGTCTTGCATGGTGTGTGTGTGTTTCTCTCCTCTCTTAAATATTCCCTCCTGTTGCAATTAAGTTTCTTGCCTAAAAACGTGAAATTTAAAAACTTTTTATCTAAACACAGTGTAATAAAAAGCAAAACAGTTAGATAACAGGCCAGGTACGTTGGCTCATGCCTGTAATCCCAGCACTTTGGGAGGCCAAGGCGGGTAGGTCAGGAGTTTGAGACCAGCCTGGCCAACATGATGAAACCCTATCTCTACTAAAAATAAAAAAAATTAGCTGGGTGTGGTGGTGGGCACCTGTAGTCCCAGTTACTTGGGAGGCTGAGGCAGGAGAATCACTTGTACCTGGGCGGTGGAGGTTGCAGTGAGCAGAGATCATGCCACTACACTCCAGCCTGGGCAACAGAGTAAGACTTCGCCTAAAAAAACAAAAACAAAACAAACAAACAAATCAATGAGATAACCAAAAACTTGGCAATTTGGAAGAGGGGAATAAAAAGTATTTTAAAGATCTTCTTTGAAAACAAGGTCATATTTTGAGGTAATAGTGAAGATTAAAAACTCAGTAATAATCCACACCCTGGGCAGCAGAAATCATCACAGAAATCAGGTACTTGCTATGTACTCAAACTGGTCTAGACCATAGAAAAGGAAAGAAGGCTCCCCCTAATTCATTATAAGAAGCTCGAATACACTTAATACCAAAGTACGATAAAGAAAAACAAATCAATTTCACTTATAAATATTATGAAAAGATTCTAAATCAAGTACTGGCAAATAGAACTCAGAAGTGAATTTGTTATAGTAGGTAGCTAGTCAGGCATTAGCAGGGCAGGAGAGGGGTCCCAGCATGCCTCCCCCCCCAACCAAACACACACGGAACTTCAGGTGACCATCAGGTGATAGGCGGTTGCTGACTCTCTCTCTAAAATAATAATTGATCACAGCCGGGGCCAGGGAAAGGTAGTCTCCTGATAGAGAACACCTGAAACTGGTGAGCAACAGGTTCCCGATAAGATCTCAGGAGTTGGACGAGTGAGCACAGGAATGCATATTAAGAGGCAGAATGGCAGGGGGGCGGGGTTTAATTGGTATATGACTTTCCAGGGACATTTGACTGGTAAGGGAAGATGCCTCAAGTGAGCATGCATACAATTCCAGTTAAACACACTATGCATGCTCACCTCCCAAACGCTAGTAGGCTACTGAGCATGTGGACACCCCACCCCAGGGTAAGAATCAGGAGAAGGAATGCAAAACCCTGGAAGTATGCCAACATACAAAACCCTAAGCAGGCCAAGCATGGTGGCTCACATCTGTAATCCCAGCACTTTGGGAGGCCAAGGCGGGTGGATCACCTGAAATCAGGAATTTGAGACCAGCCTGGCCAATGTAGCGAAACCTCATCTCTATTAAAAATACAAAAATTAGGCGTAGTGGCAGGTGCCTGTAATCCCAGCTACTCGGGAGGATCAGCATGAGAATCACTTGAACCCGGGAGGCAGAGGTTGCAGGGAGTCGAGATTGCACAATTGCACTCCAGCCTGGGGGACAGAGCAAGACTCTATCTACAAGAAAAACAACAAGCAACCCTAAGTCAAAGGTCAAACCGCATACTTCATCCCACAAGTCACCTGCTTGGACCTCTTCTAAGTGTACTTTACTTTCTTTCATTCCTGCTGTAAAGCTTTTTAATAAACTTTCACTCCTGCTCTAAAACTTGTGTCGGTCTCTCCTGCCTTATACTCCTTGGTCAAATCCTTCTGAGGAGTCAAGAATTGAAGTTGCTGCAAGCCCATATGGATTTGCTGCCAGAAAAAATACACAGAATACAACATAATAATACAACATGGTTTATTTCAGGAACGCAGAGATGGCTTAACATTAGCAAAACCATCAACATAGTTTATTACATTTTTAAGTAAAAAGACAACCATACAATAAAATCACAAAAAGAAAATAAAAAAAAAAAAGATAACCATACAATAAAACATAAAGGTTAAAAAAGCACTTGGCATAACATTCAATAGTTATTCCTAACTAAAATAAGCAAACCGAAAACGACCTAAAATAGAAGTAGAAAAATATACTTAAATAAAAATAATTTACTACAAACCTACAGCAAACAACTCATCATTAAGAGACAGGTCTCATTCTGTCAACCTGGCTGGAGTGCAGTGACATGATCACAGGTCACTGTAATCTCTTAACTCCTAGATTCAAGTGATCCTCCTGCCTCAGCCTCCTGAGTAGCTGGGACTACAAGCACATACCACCACACTAAGCTAATTTTTAAATTTTTCAGAGATAGGGTCTTGCTTTGTTGTCCAGGCTAGTCATGAACTCCTGGCTTTAAGCAATCCTCCCACTTCTACCTCCCAAAGTGCAGGCATTACAGGCATAAGCCACCACTCCTGGCCTGCAAACAAATGATAAGGCCATTACTATTGAAGTCAAGACTGACAGGGATGTTTGCAATATTGTTCTTGAGGCCCTAGCTAATGAAATAAGAGAAGGCATAAAACAAATAGTATGAGTGGACAGCCAAGGTGGCTCACACCTGTAATTCCAGCCACTTTGGGAGGCTGAGGCAGGTGGATCACCTGAGGTCAGGGGTTTGAGACCAGCCTGGCCAACAAAGGAAACCCCATCTCTACTAAAAATACAAAAATTAGCTGGGCATGGTGGCAGGTGCCTATAATCCCAGCTACTTGGCAGGCTGAGGCAGGAGAACTGTTTGAACCCAGGAGGCGGAGGTTGCAGTGAGCTGAGATCATGCCATTGCATTCTAGCCTGGGCAACAAGAACAAAACTCTATCTCAAAAAATAAAAAAATAAAATGAATAAATAGTCTGAGTATTAGCAGAAAAAAAAACATTATCCTTGTTTGCAGCTATGAGTATAAACCCAAGAAAAACTAACAACCAATTATAACTAACAAGAGGGCATAGTAATTATTGGATATATTTTTCAAAGATCTTCTTTATAGCAGTAATAACTAGTAAAAAATGAAGATTGATTAGAAAAATACTATTTACAAGAGAAATAAATGCAACCAATTACCAAAGAAAAAAAAAGTACAGAGC